GTTGAAACCAGGTTAGTGAGGAATAATTGAAAGAATTGGGATGCTTTAGCTGGAAATGAGAGGGTCTAGGGAGACAAGTAAAGTTGCTACAATTATTTGAGTGGTTATGGTACACAGGAACACTTGTATGTGTCCCCAGAAGAACAAGGAGCAAATGGATGTAAATTGCAGGGAGGCAGATTTCAGGTGAGTATAAAATGAACTAAGAACTGGAACTGAGCATTAACCTGCTTACCTGAAATGTTTAAATTGAAGCTGACTGATCATGTTCCTTCATTTTTCCTTTATTCAGGAATGAATACATTTATCCCTTCAATCATTTTATATACTGAGTACCTATGTGCCAGGCACCACTGTTCTTTTTTTTTTTTTTTTTTTTAAGTTTTTATTTAGTTTTGAAGGAGAGAGAGACAGAGCATGAGCCAGGGAGGAGCAGAGAGAGAGGGAGACATAGAATTTGAAGCAGGCTCCAGGCTCTGAGCTGCCAGCACAGAGCCTGACGCGGGGCTCGAACTCATGAACCGTGAGATCATGACCTGAGCTGAAGTCGGACACTCAACTGACTGAGCCACCCAGGCGCCCCCAGGCACCACTGTTCTTAAAACTCTACTGTATTAACTCAATGAGGTCTCAGAACAACCTTATGAAGTAGGCACTAAACTTTGCAGATGAAAATACCAAGACACAGAGAAGTTAAATACCTGTTGAACACCTCACAGGAGGAGTAAGAGGAGAGCCAGGCTGTAAGCACAGTCAGACTGTAGCCAATTCTCAGCCTGGCCAATACACCAACCTACTTTTCTAATGGTGCTGAGCTTGATGTTGTAGATGTGTGATTCTCACGAGTGGGAGGTTGGACTAGATAAGACCTCTTTCAACTCTGAAGATTTCATGGTCACCTTTATTGAGCCCTGGCTGTATTAGAGGGAATTTGTAGTAATTATGGTAAAAACAACTACGATTTTTGAGTACCTACTATGTGCTTTATATGAACCCCTGGTCCTTAAGCCAGGTTCTTCTCTTTGGCTACACAAAATAATTACATAGGGAGTGAGGTCTTGAGAATGCCATGCTGTGAAAGTTTTCCGAAGTGATTCTAAAGTGCAGCCAGAGTTGAGAACTATAGGTACAAAAGATCTCATTTAATACTTAGAATGACTGTGCCAGGCAACCCTACAGTCCCCATTTTACATATAAAAGGACTAAGGGTTAAGTGATGCTGGGGACTTGGCCCTTGGCCAAGCTAAGCTATACCCTTGGCCAAACTAGGATGTGGACCCAAGCCTTTCTGGCTCCAAAGCCTCATCAGGTTACAGTACAACTTCCCAATCCCTTTATTATAAACAACCCAAACCTAACCTAACAAACAAATAAAAACCACCTTATTCCATCTCAGCATTTACACAGCTAATCTCCACATCAGGACCCTACTCAGTTGCCTTTTACAGGTTCTTCAGCCACCCTTTCTGAAACAACAACAACAAAAACTAAGAAAGGATCTCAAATAGTTTAATTTTGTGTCCAGTATTGTTAGTTCAGAACACTGGGAAAATTGCTTGGGTTCCAGTATTTTCTTCCATACTGTAGACAACTTGATATTAACTGTGTTTCTGATATTAAAACTTATTGCTTGGTAATGTTAACCACTTGAGGAGTATATTGTTTGTAACAGAATAGGATAAAGAGTGTACTTTTGTCTTGATACCAATTTACCTTTGATTGTGGTTTAAATCCTTTGTTTACAGAGTGATGTTACCATGATTGTTACCGTATCTGTTACCATAATTGTTTACTATAATTGTTTCTTACCCACTTTATAATTAACTTGTAAGTAAATTTATTAGGTCTTGTAAGCTCTTTATTAGAATATATGTATCCAGGTAATGTTCAGTTACAGTATGGTAAAAATAAATGTATTTAGAAAAAAGAAGACTCAGAAAATGATCTTATGAAGCTTTTATTGGTAAGAAGCAGAAAACTATGAGATTTGTTTATTTATTTGCCTAAATTTTTAAAAAGTTTCTTTATTTTGAGAGAGTAAGCAAGTGGGGGAGGAGCAGAGAGAGAGAATCCCAAGTAGGCATCTCACTGACAGTGTGGAGCCCGATGTGGGGATTGATCTCATGAACTGTGAAGTCATGACCTGAGCCGAAACCAAGAGTTGGATGTTTAACCAATTAAGCCACCCAAGTGCCCCCAAAACTATGAGATTTAAGTCATTGAGAAGTACATGACCTACCACTGCTGGCTTTGAAGGGGGCCATGAGCCACGTGGCCTCTGGAAGCTTAGAACAACTCCTAGCCTATAGTCAACAAGGAAACAGGGACTTTAGTCCTACAACCATATGGAACTGAATTCTGCCAACAACCTAAATAAGCCTAGAAATTGATTTTCCCCAGAGCCTTCAGAACTGAAGGCAGCTCTGCCAACACTTTGTTTCTGACCTTGTGAGACTCTGGGAAGCAGCGAACTGTGCCTAGATTTCTGACCCCCAAAAGTGTGAGGTAAGAAATGGGTGTTATTTTAAGCTGCTAACTTTGTATGGTGGCAATAGGAAACCAGAGCAGAACCTGTTTATAGACTGAAATGTTATTGAAATTTGCAGACTAAAAGTTGTCTTTTGGTTCTTAATTGACTAGCAACAATAGAATATCAGTTGACTTTTGTCAGTAAACCCAATGATTTCTTTGCTCCGCTTATTTGGAGCCTGCATCACATGACAACTTAGAGGATAGTTTATTTTTATTGAAATAATTTAAATGTTGTTTTTTTATCAAGGATATCTTTAGGTATAGTCAGCCTTCATTCAGGACTTTCTAGTCAGCCTCGGATCTGGAGCAGTAGTTTAGAGAAGTGTATTCGAAGACTGTCATAAAAGAGAATTGTCAACTTCTTTTTCTTAGATTGTAAAGTATTTAAGGTCAAGGGCTCTATATTGCTCATTTTTGTATCCTCCGCAGTGACTAGAATACCATTTGCATATAAATGTGCTCAGTAGTTTTAAGAATTGAATTGGTTTACATTATGAAGAACCTTGAAATGGAGGGAGAAAATGGCATTTAGGTATGTTTGTAGCTACTACCTAAAGAAATTTACTCAAGGTGTATGATAATCTGCAATCAAGCTGCAATAACCAATATGACCTTGCCATATCAATTTTTAAAAATTCTTTATTATAATTAAATATTTATTTTCAAATCATCAACTCGTATAAATGTAGAAAGCAGGCTGCATATCCAATCTGGAAGGGAAGGGAAATTCACTGGATCATTGAATTTGGATTTTAAAGATCTTGCTATGTAAAATGTTTCTATTATTTGATTCCTACACACCTCCCAACCCCAGTAGGCATGTGTTTCACAATCAGGTGAGAGGAAGGAAGGAAGAAAGGGAAGAAGGAAGAAAGAAGAAAGGGAGAACAACTTAAAAAAAAAAAAGGAACACACAGACATACTTTTTGAAAAGTAAAATATCATCTTAATAACACAGCAAAATGGCTCCAAAGTACTAAACACAAAATTTAATAACATACGTGTCATTTTAAGACCTATCTTTCCTGATAATAGCTTTTAAGGAAAACATTTAGACCCTGCTCTATTGTCCCCCAAATCAAGACAGGGCATCATTATGATGTCACTGCCGAAAACAGATGGAATGACCCCCAAGGTCCAAAGGAAAAGAGGTGGGGTTCATACTGCACTCTCAGCTGACCATGTGGTGTGTATCCTATCTGCTCTGGGCATCCAGTCTTTTTTCAGAGACCAGGAAGGGATAAAGATGCACTAGTTCAGTTAATTTTCATAGCAGCCTTGTAAGCCTTGTAAGTTGTTTCTTCTTCGTTTCCATTTACAACTGAGGAATTAACGTAAAGGATTATTAGCTAGTAATATGGCAAAACTGAGATTCAAACCTGAAATGAGCCACAAAATCTGATTCAAATAGAGCTGTCAGCCATGCCATAACAGAATGTTGAGGAAATACGTGATGTTTAGTGTGGAGAAGCAAAGACCTTAGAAGGAAGATAGAGCAGTTGCTTTCAAAGACGTAAGGAAGTGCAACTGACAGAGCACAGGGAAAACCTGCTTTGCCACTCCCCTCCTTAAAACCTTAAGGTGGCTTTCAGTTGCTATAGAAATAAGTTCTAAACTTCTTAGCAAAAGCTTAGAGATAGTTCTACAATCTGCTACCGACTTCCTCCTCACCATCCATTTCACTCTCCCACTCTACAACAGATTGCTTTCAGCCCTTCACGGACACAACCCTCTCTCTGAACTTCCCCCTGCCTAAAACACCCTTTCCAATCTATGCCTGGTCAACCTTTACTCACCACCTCTTCCTTAACCCCAGGACATGATTTAATCATCTGGCTAGGCATGCCTACAGGACCCTATTCTTTCCTTTTTGTAGCACTGATTGCATTTTAATTGCTCATTTAATATCTTTCTTTCTAAACAACAAGTTCCACAAAGTTAGGAATCACATCTCTAGTTCAGTACTGTAATTTAGTGCCTACTGTAAGACTTGATACATAGCAGGTGCCCTGAACAAATATTTTTTAATTGAAATTAATTAGTAACACCAGGGGGAATAAATGATGGGAAGAGGAAATGGAGGGATGAGCCAAAAAAAAACAAAAAACAAAAAACAAAAAAAAACACAAAAAAAAACAGGTGGCAGAGGTTTAACTTTAATGATGGAATATTCTGAGGAAACATGGACTGGCGTGACATTTCACTGTGGACTTCTGAAAAACCAGAGGGAACCCTGGTAAGTTTGCCTAGAGAAAGGGACTAGCTGACTATATTCTGCCATTCTGCAGGTCTCTGCTGGCTGCTCTCCGTCCTCCTGGTGAAGTCATCTCAGATACTGTGCATGCATAGTGATCAACACACATGGTATTTGGTGCTTGTGGAATTTGTTAGGTGAGAAATATCTGTAAAGGACTTTTATTTTATAGCTGTGTCTCTTTCTTTGTCTCAATTTTGTGCTTACAGGGGAAATGAAGGAACCAGGTGATCAGGACACTGATGGGGAGAAATTAGACGGATCAAAGAGTGATGGAAGGCAGTCTCCGAGCTCCTCTAAATCTGCATCAAGATGTAAGTAAAGATTATAATATACCCTTAGGCTTTTACTAAATTTAGGTAAAACCATTTTTAAAGAGTTTTTAAGTTTATACAACAGAAATGGTTTACTTGTTTCGTTCTATTGTTAAATTCTAAGTTCTTTAAGAGGGCAGAGACTGTGTTTTAACCATTTAATCTCCAGAGCCTGACACATAGAAGTTACTATCATCTCTGTGTTGATAATGATCTCTCTGCAAATCTGGTCTTGCTCTCTCCTGTGAGTCTTTACTGAACTTTTCTAATACAGTATAGTAGAAAGAGCTGGACTTTAGGTTTAAGGCCTGGGTCTACCACTTAGAGACACTTGATCTGGAATAAATTATTTTACCTCTTTGAGCCTCAATTTTCTCACCCATTAAGATGATAATTGTGAGTAGTTTGAGGATTAAATTGGATAACATATGTAGAAGAATATCATATACTGCAAATAAAACAGAAATACCCTGATACCAAAACCAGACAAAGACATTACAGAAGAAGAAAACTGCAGACCAATATCCCTGATGAAACTAGACGTGAAAATCCTCAACAAAATATTAGCAAACCACATTCAGTAATACCTTAGAAGAATCATTCACCAGGATCAAGTGGGATTTATTCTCAGGATGTAAGGATGATTCAATATTTGCAAATCAATTAACGTGATACATCATATTAACAAAAAAAAGGATGAAAATCATATGAATACCTTAATAGATGCAAAAAAGCATTTGACATCCAGAATCCAACATCTCTCAACAAACTGGGCTTAGAGGGAACATACCTCCACATAATAGAGGCCATGCATGAAAAAAATCCATGGCTAACATCATATTCAATGGTGAAAAACTGAGAGCTTTTCCTGTAAGATCAGGAACAGGATGAGGATGTCCACTCTCGCCTCTTTTATTCAACATAGTACTGGAAGTCCTAGCCACAGAAATTATACAAGAGAAAGAAATAAGAGACATCTATATTGGTAAGGAAGAACTCAAATGGTCACTATTTGCAGATAACATGATACTATACATAGAAAGCCCTAAAGATTTCACAAAAAAACTTTTAGAAGTAAAAAATGAATTCAGTAAAGTGGCAGGATGAAAAATTAATACCCAGAAATCAATTGTGTTTCTATACACTAATAATAAAATAGTAGAGAAATTAAGAAAATAGTCCCATTTACAATTACACCAAAAAGAATAAAATACCTAGGAATAAACTTAACCAAGAATGTAAAAGACCTGTACTCTGATAAGTATAAAACACTGATGAAAGAAATTGAAGAAAACTCCAACAAAAGGAAAGATATGCCAGACTCTTGGATTGAAAGAATTAATATTGTTTAAATGTCTACATTATCCAAAACATTTTATAGATTCAGTGTAATTGCTATCAAAATACCAACAGCATTTTTCACAGAACTAGAACAAAAGATCCTAAAATTTGTAAGGAACCACAAAAGACCTTGAATAGTCAAATCAATCTTGAAAAGAAGAAAGCTGGAGGTATCAATTCCAGATTTCAAGATATACTACAGTAATCAAAACAGTATGTTACTGCCACCAAAATAAACACATAGATTAATGGAACAGAATAGAGACCAGATATAAACCCATGCTTTTATGGTCAATTAATCTGTGATAAGGGCAGCAAGGATAGACAATGGGGAAAACACAGTCTTTTCAACGAATGGTGCCAGGAAACTGGACAGCTACATGCAAAAGAAGGAAACTATACCACTTTCACTTTCTTACACCATACACAAAAATGAACTCAAAATGGATTAAAGACCTAAATGTGAGACCTCAAACAATAAAACTCCCAGAAGAAAATAGAGACAGTAATTTCTTTGACATCAGCCATGGCAACGTTTTTCTAGGTATGTCTCCTAAGGCAAGGGAGACAAAAGCAAAAATAAACTATTGGGGCTATATCAAAATAAAAAACTTTTGCAGAGCAAAGGACACCATCAAGAAAATCAAAAGGCAACCCACTGAATGGGAGAAGATATTTGCAAATGATATATCCAATAAAGGGTTAATTTCTGAATATATAAAGAATTATACAACTTACACAAAAAAAAACCCCAAAACAACCTGAAGACCTGAATATTTTTCCAAAGAAGGTATACAGGTAGCCAACAGATACATGAAAAGATGCTCAATATCACTCACCACGAAGGAAATGCAAATCAAAACCACAACGAGATAGCTCCTCACACCTGTCAGAATGGCTAGACACAAAAAGATAAGAAACAAGTGTTGGCAAGGATGTAGAGAAAAAGGAACCCTTGTGCACTGTTGGTAGAAACATAAATTGGTCCAGCTACTGTGGAAAACACTATGGAGATTCTCTCCATGGAGATTCTCAAAAATTAAGAATTGAAATACTTATGATCCAATAATTCTACTACTGGGTATTTACACAAAGAAACCAAAAATACTAATTTGAAAAGATCTATGCATGCCTATGTTTATTGCAGAATCACTTACAATAGCCAAGATATGGAAGCAACCCAAGTGTCCATTGATAGAGGAATAGATAGAGAAGATGTGATACACACACACACACACACACACACACACACACACACTGGAATATTACTCAGTCATAAAAAGATGAGATCTTGCCATTTACAACAACATGGATGGACCTAGGGGGTATAATGCCAAATGAAATAAGTTAGAGAAAAACAAATATCATATGGTTTCATTTATATGTGAAATCTAAAAAGAAAACAAATGAATAAACAAAAAGAAGAATCAGGTGATCATATGATTACTATAGCTACAAGGTATAATTTAATGTCTTATTTAAATCTTATGAATTTGAATGTTTTTAACACTAACTTTTCCCAGTAAGGTCCATTATGAAACCAGAAAGTAAATGAATAAATAAAAAGCAGAATCAGACCTATAAATATTGAGAACAAACTGATGGTTGCCAGAAGGGAAGTGGGTGGGGAATGGGCAAAATGGGTGAAGGGGAATGGGAGATACAGGCTTTCAGGTTTGGAATGAACAAGTCACAGGAATAAGTCACAAAAGGCATAACGTAAGGAATACAGTCAATGATATTGTAATGGCATTGTATAGTGACAGATGGTAGCTATATTTGTGATGAGCATAACATATAAAATTGTTGAATCACTTTGTTGTGCACCTGAAACTAATGTAACACTGTATGTCAACTATACTAAAAAAATAGAATAAAATGTGAGGAATTGTGTAAAAGAATTTTTAAAAAATGGCTTGCTCTTTCTGACAGGGCATCATGGTGTTAGGTGTCATAGGGGAGTCTTGACTTTTGTAGCTCTAATCCTAAATACAGTTTCAGAAATATAATTTTGATTATTCACCTAGAGGAGACCAGGTCCTGGGGAAATCAGTTCATTCACAAAATTGACATTACACTATTTCAATGTATCTGAGACATATCTGGTAAATCCATAATTTCTCCATATCATGTTTTATTTGAGGTGTTTATCTCCTCTTGCTTGGACTCAAGCCTTTCTGTTCAAGTCTCTCTCCATACCACCACTATAATTATCTTTCCAAAAAACATGGTTATATCACTGTCTTCAAAACTGTTAGTCTGCTTCTTTCTTGATTTTCCATTTCCACTTTTCTCCACTCCCTAATTTCTGACCCAGGATTGTCTACCTTTTGGTGTCCAGTCCTTTGCAGCATTTTCCTAGATGGATGGATTTAATAATAATGACCCTTTGTCTAGCACTGCCTCAGGATCTTCCCTTCTATGTCAGATCCTTACAGGGGATGGCCTGTCAAGTGTGGCCTGACCTTGCACTCAGCTCATAAATTAGTTCATATATTGTGGTTCTTAGTATCCCAAATGATAACCTGAAGTAATTTGCTGGTATCCTGAAACCCTTTTTCTTGGTCCTGTGAGAAGAGGTATCTCTTCTGGTTTGGCCACATTCCTGATAGCTCCCCCATGCACGCTTTTTTTTTTTTTTTTTGCCTGGAGACCTGACCCTGTTCTCAGGCTTGCTAAAATATGAGCAACTTCTTACCCTTTGGAATTCTCATGCAGAGTGAACCAGTTTCCGGGTTGTCCACTAAGTAGAGAGATTAAAGTTGACTCTTCCCATACTCAACAAGAGGTAGAGTTTCTCCATTTGGTAATAGAATGATTTTGGTTTTGCTAATTTTCTCTATTGTTTGCTTGCCTTTTATTTGGTTGATTCTTGCTTTTATTTTTATTATTTCTATGACTTCTATTTTCTTTTTTGCTTTTTCTAGATTCTTGAGGTCTGAGTTTTGACTTTTCTTCTTTTCTTATATGTACAAAAACTATAAATTTCCCTCTAACCATAGCCTTAGCTGCATCCCACAAATTTGGATATGTTATATTTTAATTATCACTTTAAAATATTTAATTTAAAATATTTTTAAATTTCTTTGTTGGTTTCTCCTTGATCCACACATTATTTTTAAATGTTTGATTTCCAAATATTTGTAGGTTTTCCAGATCTTATCACAGTTTATTTTTAATTTACTTCTGTTGTGATCAGAATATATGAGCTACTTTGGAAATAAGGAAATGTTGAATTCAAGATTTAGAAATTATTAAAACAAATTACTTTTAATAGCTGCTATGAAAGAGGATTACAAATTTTTAGAAGATGCCACAGAAGAAACATTTACCGAAGGGAGAGAATCACGTTTAGGCGATGATGATTATTCTATGGAACAATTGGAAGGAAGTTCAAGTTCATTTCAAGATGACTATGTGGAGAGCATTGGAGGTAAGTGTTATTAGTTTCCTATCAGTAATTGTCACTGTTTTAAAGACAAATTGCCTAAAATGAACAGTTATAAATCCATAGAAATAAAAATTTTCAGGATATTTTTCAGTGATAAAAGTAAGAGCTTGGAACATATTCTAATAGGGTAGCATCTCTGGAGCTGTAGATTACACTTCTGAGGATCACATACAGGAAGGACTCTCATACTTGGTTTTCTGGGGGGTAGGATGATCTCAGGAGTGCTCTACCCCAGATTAGTGAATTATAACTCTCCCTTGGAACTGATTGGGAGTTGCTGTTTGAGACTGCAAAACCATGACCAGAGTTCAGCATGCACCCTTTGTTGATTTCTCTTCCTCCCAAGCACAGAGCCATGTTGGTTCCTCTTCCCATGCTCACTGGTGGGTAGCATCCCATGTTCAGGCCACTTGTAGTACTGCTAGAGTATTGCGGGGTACGTATATTCCTCCTGTCTTTGTGAAATACAATTTTAGGACTCACCAGATGCCCTTTTTAGTTAAAATATTTTATTTTTTTAGAATCTCGGTATATGGAAACCCCAGCTCCAGACTCAGAAAGGGCAGAGGAGGAAGTTAAGAAGAAAATATCAGAAAACTTCTTCTATGATTATGCAGAGCTGATTTCGATGCCTTTTGTGACTCCGGATTCAAACATACCACTGGATCTTCTCACACTTGTGTATCCACTCCAGTTACATATGTATAATTTTTGGATTTCAACTTCTTAGGTCAGGGATCGGCAAACTGTAGCCCGTGGACCAAATCTGGCCTCTGGTCTATTTTCCTAAATAAAGTTTTATTGGAACACAGCAATTCTCACTCATTTTCGTTTTATCTGTGGCTGCCATCACACTACAAGGGCAGAATTAAGTAGTTATAACAGAAGTCACCTGGCCCACAAAGCCTAGAATATTTACTATCTGGCCCTTTATAGAAAAAGTTTGCCGATCCCTGTCTTAGGTAATTCTAAGAAGCTTGTCCCTTAGAGAAGCTGAGATAGAAATACGGGACCTTAATTTAAACTAACCTTTTGTTGATGCTAAGTAACCATAAAGAGAAATGATACTTTTCTGGCTGTTCTCTCATGAGACATGATGTAAAGGAGATCAAAAGGCCTCTTATCCTGGTTTACATCCTCTACCAGGCTGGCATCCCTTTCTCAATGCCTACCAAGTTAAAATCATTGATTTCTTAAAACACTGATACAATTGTCAGACATTAGTACTTACACATTATTTATCAGATGAGTATCAGAGAAGACAACCCTGAGGAAATAGGGCACAAAATAACACACTTTAATTGGTCTGGAAAATAAGAGTTCATGAAGAATTGTAAAGGTGGGGATGATTAACAAGGGGATTTAGGGTTTGCTGTCACTGTGTGATGTTAGGTTTGTAAGGTGGTTAGTTAGGAAAATATTTCCATTAATGCTCTTGGCTAGCAGTTTGGTATGCCTGCCTTCAGATGACCACATGGCCTGAAACACTGACTGGCCTCTTATAAAACTGTGCTTAAAGAGGAGGGTGGTGTACTCACTGACTCAGTTTTGGTTTTCATATAAAAATAGAACATGTTATTATAGCTTCTGTTTCAATCCCAGGTGTAACTAGAACTAATTCACCTTATACTAATTCACTAATAACCTGGAATTTTCTCTTTTGAGGACTTCTTTTGTATATGTCATCTTTGGACAAGTTGCTGATAGAAGTTATGCTGTTGCCTTCCTTCTAGCCTATTTGTTTCAAATGAGGTGGTTTAGCAGTCACCTGGAAGATTTTCCTGAAATACACATGTTCTGATACCTTTCCTGGACCAACTGCATCATTTCTGTGTGTAGAGGGACTTGGGCACATGTAGTCTGAAAAAGTTTACCAAGTACTTTTGATTGTGTTGCCTTCTCCCAGCCCCCAACACTGGAGACTTGTTGCTCCAGGATACAGGGATCTCTGTATTAGAGAGATATGCTGCGATTCCAGATAATAGAGTCAGAGTGACCTTGACTTTTGACTCGATATATGAATTACCTCTACTGATGCTGGATGAGTGGCTGTATCTGCTATAGACTTTTCATGAACACTTTCAAAGCCAAGGAAGTCACAAATTCTGGATAGCTCACATTATTAGCTCTTGCAGGCCTTGAATCAAAAACTGCCTCTCTGGAACATCTTGCATTAGACAGTTCTACTCTCCAGGGTTGGAACAAATATGATCTCTATTTCTTGTGAGAAGCTCCAAGGAGAAATTAGCTGTCATGTATCCCCTACACAATCCTTTATACTTTATTAATTCAATTGAGTCAACTTCAGTTTCAAAGTTCAGTGTCTTATAAGTCAAGAAATGTGTCATGTATTACATATTACCTAAACCATAGCATAATTTATACAAGATGTATTTAAACACGATTTTAAAGTGAGGGTCCTAGATGCTCATGAACAGACAGTGAAGGCCCTGGGTCTCAGATAGGAAGTTCAGAAAATGCAAACCAGAAGACAGGATGGGATAAAGCAGAAAGGAGTTGAAGGTATAGCAGAACACAATTTAACATCTTAAAAGCTCTGGTTAGGGGATCCGCTGTCGTTTGGGGTTAAAAGGGAAGGATCAGACTCTAGTTATACATTAATTAATTCATTAATTAATGCATCCAAGAAATGTTTATTGAATGCCTCACAGGCTCAAGACACTGCACTAGGCATTCTAGGAAGTAGAGATGAGCTATGAGAAGAAGCAGGTTGTAATTTGGAGGGGGAGAGTTTGGGAAGTTACAGTCTCACCCATTCTGCATTTGAAAGGGCCTTTGATCAGAACAGCAGCAGGTCAAAGGGAGTCCTACTCTACCCTGAAATTAGAGATGTTAATGCCAGATAAGTGATCACATGCCTGATTCCCAACTGTCACCCAAGACAGTGAAGAGATGGTAGCCCATTTCTACTCTCAGTTATCGACACACTATTAGCCCTCCAAGTGTTACACTGGCACTGGGAAAAGAGGAAGGAAGAGGAGGAAAGAAAGGTGAGAGCAGCAGTTTGGGGAAAGGGAAAAGGAAGGTAGGTGAAACTTCCTGCCCATACCAGGAAGATAAGGAGCATGTGGATCCCATTCTTATTTGTAAGGAGGCCTCAGTACCCATGAGGTCTGAATAGCTTCATCAAGATCTTTGGATCACATGTTCATTTGCATTTCTTTTTTTTTTAAGTTTTAAGTTTGTTTGTTTGCTTATTTATTTATTTAGAGAAAGAGACAGCATGAACAGGAGAGGAGCAGAGAGAGAGAGAGAGAAACAGAATCTCAAGCAGGTTCTCCTCCCTGTCAGTGTGGAGCCTGACATGGGGCTCAAACCCACAAACTGTGAGATCATGACCTGAGCTGAAACTGAGAGTTGGATGCTTAATTGACTGAGTCACCCAGAAATTGTATATAAAAATTAATTTTAGGTGTTCGTGTCTTTAGTGAGTTGATAAAATTCCTTTTTCTTGAACAGATAAAAAAGCCGTGAAATGTTCTGTCTCTTTTTCAATTTAACTCTTAGGCAATGAGGTAGGTATAGTTATGTATAGTTGGTTAATAGTTTGTATAAACCTCACAATTCAAATTGCAGTAATTAAAATTTTCTCCTTTTTTACATTCTATATATTCTTGTTAATAATTCTACTTTGTTTTTTCTCTAAAAATATTCACTTACAAATAAAAATAATCCTCTAAAATGAGAATTTATTTTTTTTAAACAAGGGCAAAAAATAAAGATTTCTCCAATGATCCTTTAACTTTTGTGTTCAACAGTGAACTCTTAGAAAATAAGAAACCATCTACTTAAGATATACTATGTAATATGTTTCTTTTGCAAACTATAATGTTTTGATAGATTAACCTCATTTAACTTATTACATTTATATCTTAGGTTATATTAATTTGAACTTGAACTTGAATTAATTCGAACAATGTACATTTAAAAGATGTCTTATAAAAACTTTGATTATTTTAACCTTTATTTTGAATTAGTGCAGATTTACTGTATGGCATTAATATGCACACACACACACACACACTCATCTATATACCTATACATATTAATGCACTCAGAAAGGAAATGTTAGCATATTTATTATATATACTTATATACCATATACTATTTAGTCCATTTTCATAATTCATATGAATTAAATTTCAATTATATTTATGTAGATTTATTACAATATGTAATATTACTGGTGTTTCAGGATTTCAAAACATGTCAAAATTTTAAACAGCTGGTCTTTCAACATCAAGAGGCCTTTTTGATACTTTTACTTTTATAAAATTAATCTGCTTTCAGGATTTCCCTGGGAAAATTAAAATATTGACTAAATCAGAGTATGAGGATTTTCACTTAATTTGAAAGCAAGGTTGCATTAGTGATAAATAAAAAACTCTGAGTTTCAAAGTAAAATGCAACTACTTCAACACTGAGCCTTTATTAAAGGGCACAGAGTTTAAAAACATATTTATTACATTGCTTTTTCTGTCTCTAGAATGGTTACTTTGTGTCACTTCTTTTCCTTAACAATATTCTCTCAGTCATTCCTTTGGTTATGACTGTAGAAAGCGGGCCAACCTAAAACTTCTGGACAGCAGTACTGTGATGTACATAGCTGGGAACCAGCTGATCCTTTTGAATTTGAAAACCAAGGAACAGATCTACCTGCGAAGTAGCAGCGGTAGAGGAATTGGTGTTATTGGGGTACGCTGTTAGCGACTTCCTAAAAAAATTCCATCCTTTTGTTTGTTTCTTCTGTGGACCAGCCAGGCTGTTAGATGCCAATACCATGGGCAGGATGCCATAATTGCAGGAGATGCAATTCTAAGGCATTTTCAAGTCAACAATTGCAACCACTCCATTCGTTGACATTGTCTCTGTGCAGTATCATACTATCACGTTAATAATACTATCATTTTACTAATACTTATGTTGCAGATAAGGACACTGGGGCTAAAAGAGGGTAAGTGGCTTCCCACAGTCATCAAGTTTTTACATATTAATGCTATGTTGCTATTCTGCAAAAATACTCAAATGAATGGCACAGATGATAATTCAAATAATAAATAGAGATAAGTGCCAGATAAGATATAAGTATATGGTTGCACATTAAGAGATCAAGTATAGATTGTACGTTCAATAATTTTGAGAAGTTGACAGAAGGACTTGTATGTGATTTGAGGCTGTCTCTTCCTTCCTCTTCAGGTGCCTGTCTCCATCAGTCACCTTTTTTCTTGTACCTTCAGCCTCTACTTCCTTAGGGTTTTCATCCTCAGCATTAAAGCACACTAAATCAACTTGTTCTCATCTTAAAAGTCTCCTCTCTAACCATGTATTCTCTTTACACTGACTTTTGATCTTCCCTTCAAAGCCAAGCTTCTGCTGTCTTTTTCCCTATCACCGCACTGAAATTGCCCTTACTAAAGTGACCAATGGCCCTGAATAGCCAAATCTGAAGAATACCTTTCTAACTGTATCTTATCTGACCTCTCAATAGCAATTGGCCCCATGATTGCGCTTTTATCTTGATGACCTTTTGCTTTTTACTCTGATCCTTAAAAGTAGTTGATCCTTAAAAGTCCCTAGATCTTCTCTCATCAATAACAGCCTGAGAAGCACATCTTGGTGTCTTTAGAGTCATGAGAGGGCACCTGTTCAGATTAGGCTGTGTGAAACACGGAGAGGAGGAGAAATGAGCAGGATTTGGGGCTCATACAAGCTACAATTCCGTAGCAGACATTCAAAGGGTTTTTAGAAGGATCATGAACCAAATAGAAGTCTGCCCTGCTCTTGCCCTGCCTGTCAGGTGTGAGCAGCCCATTCAGAACTAGAAGGTGAAGGGTGACATCACCGTACCCTGTGGAGGTGGAGGGCTTCTGGCAGAAAGGCTGATGCAGCTCCAACAGAGAGACTGGGCCAAGCTAGCAGGGAGTAGTGGGAAATGCTCTTGAGTAGACTAGATGGTAGGGTAGCTTACCTGGTAGGATATTTAGATTAGGAGTGGAGATGAGTGGAGAGGTTTGGAAGATTCTTGCTCTGAGAAGCGAAGCAGGAAGATGAACGGGAATGGAGAAGGTAAGGAAAATCAGAGATCCACAAATAGAACTTAGACTGGCTACGGAAACAGGAAATGGTGCGATGGAAGGGTGAAGGAGAGTCTCATGTTTCTGTCTTCCTTGATCATCTATGTATATATAGCAGGTGTAAATAGTAAAGTCCCTGTCCTCAGCAAGAATTTATTATACTACATTGTGAGTCCAACACTAACTCAGAACATGCAGGGATTTAAGTGAAGAAGCATTCGTGACCTCTATGAATTCAAAGAGTTCAAAATCCATCCAAAGAGACAGGAGTCATATCAAAAAGCAGAAAAACCAAAAAACTAGAGGCATAAAAGTACATGATCCTGTGTCACCAGCTGTGTGCAAACACAGGCCTAGCATTAGGGTCACAGGTTCCATGGAGGGAAGTCAGTCAGGGGCCACTCTGAGGTGTCCTGAGCCCTGAGGTCCACATCATCTGCAGGGTATGGAGAAACGGGGAACTATCACTTGTTTTTCTATCACTTTACGGCCAATAGTAGTTTTGAAGTTTCTATTTTGTTATACAATAAGTTGGCCTGAGGTCAGTAGTTAGAGGTGTATTGTGGTCAAGAATGTTAATCCTAATCCTCATCCACGCCTGGACTCTGGGCAGTTGTATGTCCACAGGGACTTTTCTCGGAGTGTGTTGAAGCCTGGATAGTGATGGGGATTTTCCTCAACTGGCCTTGTCGGTTCATTCTTTCTGAAATAGTTATCTATTGTGGATGAGAAGCACTCTCGCAAGGCAATGGGAAATCTATGAGAAATGTGTTCTGGGGGCATATCAACTGTCAGAAAAGATAGGGTGAATCTGTATGTTGAGTATAAAGTAAATGACTCATTAGTTCCTAATAATAATTAGTTCCTAATAATATTAGTTCCTAATAATTAGTTCCTTATTAGTTCCCCACTAAAAATAAAACACCAAACTCAACCCCACAGAGCTTCTGATCTGAAAGGGCTGAAACTTTTTCACTTACTATAGGCAAGATGCAGAAGAGCAAAAGATTTGCCCGAATTCTCATTCAGATTTCTGCGACCACATATCCTATACAATATTCTCCCATAAATAGGCATCTAGAAAAACATATACCTTAACACATTTCCCCCTAAGTTCTTGGTAGCTACTGTTTTTAATTTTTTTTAAAGATTTGTTTTTAAAAAGAGAGAGCGAATGGGGCAGGGACAGAAAGGGAGACAGAATCCCAAGCAGGCTCTGTTTTGTCAGTGCAGAATCTGATGTAAGGCTTGAATTCACGCACTGTGAGATCATGACCTGAGCTGAAATCAAGAGTCGTCATTTTAACCAACTGAGCCACCCAAGTGCCCCAGTAGCCACTGTTTTTTTAGTTCCACTTTCTTTTTGGCTCCAACACCTGGCTTGAATCCTACCTCTCACATTTACCAGCTGTATGACTTCAAGTTACTTAGCTTCTCTGTGCCTATTTCGCATTGGTAAGATGGGAATGATAATGGTATTTGAACTCACAAGGTTGATGTAAAATTTAAGGGGATTAATTCATATAAAGCTTAAACAGTGTCTGGCATATAATAAGCACCCAATAAATGTTGGTTATTCTCTCACTGAGTGTCCATCCTATAAACCCAAGCCTTGTTTCAAGCTGAAGGGATGGGTGTTTACTTGACTGGAAGAATAAAAGACCAGTTGTCAGTAAGAAGACAGCTTATATAGGTCTTTTGGCCCCATGTGTGGAGAGAAGAATGTTATCTTGGGTACCAGAATTTAGAGTGCAATCCTCTAAAGGAAGCTCCTGGCCCCTAGGTATAAAATCAGGAGTTGCAAAATGGTAAGTGAAAATAAGATTCTTTTAAAATCTATTTATTTGTTTATTTATTTATTTTGAGAGAGACTACACAAGCAGGGGAGGGGCAGAGAGAGGGAGAGAGAATCCCAAACAGGCTCCGCACTGTCAGCACAGAACCTGATGCAGGGCTCAAACTCACAAACCATGAGATAATGACTTGAGCCTAAACCAAGAGTTGCATGCTTAATCAACTGAGCCACCTGGCACACCTGAAAATAGAATTTTATAAAGCACAATATGTGTCTTAAATAGTTTGTTTTCTTTTTTTTTTAACGTTTATTTATTTTTGAGACAGAGAGAGACAGAGCATGAACGGGGGAAGGGCAGAGAGAGAGGGAGACACAGAATCGGAAGCAGGCTTC